ATATTATATATTATATATTATATATTATATATTATATAGTATACTTTGCATACTATATACATATTATATATATTATATATTATGCATAATATATTATATATTATACATTAATATACATGTGTATTATATATTATATATGTAATGTATATATAATGATATAAATAACAGGTATAAAGTAAATGTATGTGTTTATTTGTTAATTTATTTGTATTTATATATACATATTTAAGGAGTGTTAAGTGAAGAGTGATATGTTCAATAAAGCGAATGTTGTCTTAAGTTGCTTGCGATGTCTGAGTGCAAAAGGTGGAGGAAGTTGATTAAAAATTGTAAGAAAGCAGTTCTGTGCAGGAATAATAGAATTATGGAACGTCGTGGTCTTTATACTATTAATTCTGAAATAGATACTGCTGGCAATGAGTGATGTAGCTTCAGAAAGCCAGAAACACAGACGCATAAGACATATTAATTTTTGCTATAGAAGAGTACAAAAGAATTTGGCTGGAGAGTTGACCAGATTACAGATTTTTTCAGTTTTATTGAATAAACAGTGAATTTGGAAATATACATAAAATGTATTGGTTAGGAAACGCACGAATTCTGCGTATGGAACCGGTTTATTGTTTGTATCAAGATTATTTAAATTAAATTTGTTTGATTCATCTTGTTATTAGTGGTTTTCGAGTAATTAAAGTGAGACTTGTTTTCTTTTACTTCTTTTATTTGCTTCACTTGTGGATGCTGTGGCTCTTCTGCATTCAGGTATGTAGAATAGCTGCTAATTAGCCGATTCAACAGCCAAGGATGAGATTTAATTACGGCACTTTTGAAAGCTGATGAATTTTTTCGCTATTAACGTTAATTCTTTTGTGGCAGCTTAACTGTTGGATAAGGAGAGTTTCACCAAAAGGCAATTAACAACTGCATGGATGGTTCGTATGTATTATACAAGTATTTTTGCGCAAGTCGAGTTGAGCCGAAATTTACTCTTTTTACAGAAATTAATGTACAGTGTAGTGCCAAGTACTCATTCGGTTTTTTTCACTAGTAGTTTTGCATTTTGAAAGTTCACGTTTCAACTTTTCCAAGAATCTTTTTTAATTATATTTGGTTTTTAAAGTTGTTCTTGGCTGCTTTTTGTGGAGGTGTAAAAATGCACTTTGCTTCCCGTTTGTTTTTTTTTCTTGAAAAGAGGAAGTAGTTTTCTCTAGCTGCAACTAGAAAGGAAATAGAAATGAAGGGTCTTGAATGGTCTTCTGACGACGAAAACGTTATAGGGAAGTAGGTGTTGTGCAAACTCTGCAAACGAAAATGAACGTAGGAAGTTATCTTCTTCACCATGCACTTCATTCGCCGACCAGATACCAGGATGAAGAGGAATGGTACAGTGACGTGTAGTGTTGTTTTGTTATACTGTTCAGTCAGGATACAGCTTTGTAAAAATTTTGTTATCGACTTAAGACTCAGCGATTTGTTTAGAGGTTCGTGACATGGACCCTGTATTTTAAGTAGAAAAAGGATGAGCAATGAGTGTATGCTAATCAACCTTCTGTTCAATAATCTTTTTTATCAAAAGGCAATAAATTCGGCTTGGTACGAAAACGTTTATGAAGTGATCAGAACAGCTACACGGATGGTTCGTCTTCCTTACAGCGTTAGTTTAGAAATAGGATACTGTCATCAGAGTTAGCTGATGTGAATAAAAATTTGTAGGTTATGCTAAAGTGGAAACAGATGAAGCATAGGTACCGGTAGAACAGTGCTGGAGTAGTCATTGTGAAAAAGCTGTAAGGTTGAGGTATTAGATTCTGCTGCATCAACTTGATTCTCAAGACTTATCTTTTATAATTTCAAAAATTTTTCAGTTTCTGTTTACAGGTGATTTGTTAGAGGCAGTTGCAAAATGCTTGGTATTTTGGTAACTGTGATATAGTTAGTTGCATGGTACAAACTTTTGGTGGGAGGATTAAGCTAAAGTAAAATTATGGTCAACTGAAACGGAAAACGAGTGATACAAAACTGTGAGTGAAGAAATCGAGTGAAAGAAGAAAACAACAGCGACATATTAAACAAAAATTTGTAGCTCGTATGACATGATAAATGTTTAAAAACAAAAGATGTTTATCTTTTATTGACTTCTATTCTCAATTTCTTTTATTTGTATATAATTGAAGTTTGGAAGCGTTAATAGTGGTGGAATCGTTGCCAATTTTCACATTAATTTTTTGAATCTGTAGAACAGATGCATACATCTTGGAAAACAAATTTGACACTTGTTTTGCACAAGATACTTGCTTCTGCAATGTTAATGACGCTCAAAGAAGTGTCATCTTTTGAAGCGGATTAAAAATTAAGCAAGTGGGGGAAACGTTGTTGAGTTTACAGGAAAAAAACGGACAAGAATTGAAATTGAAAGGACACAACACTGGCTTGGAGATAACATCAAAAATATTTTGCTGTAAAACTATTAAATATACCTACCAAAAAATGTTTTTATTTTTAAGTTTATTTCATTTTTTTTTTAACAATTAAATTTTAAAATACAGACTTAATTAAGACAAAGAAAAAATTGATTTATATTTATGAAAAAAAAGCTTCTTTTACACACTTTGATATGTCGACAAATTTTTAGTGTAGAAACATATTTTATGACTGTTGTCTACATGTATATTTTTTTTGACATACATCGTTTTCGTGACAGTTTTAAAATGTCATCTGATTTTACGCAATTTGTATGGTCGCAGTAAAGGTTACTTTGAAATATAAAATATAAACCTTAGGTTGCAAAACCACTGCTGAGCAGTTACCGACAATGTACTGTATCGCTACTAAACTTTTGTAAGTTAGCAGAGAGAATTTTTAGCTTAACTGACTGAAACAAATACATATCTTCTTTTTTTTTCTTTTTCAAAATTTGTAATAAGAAAATTCTCTAATTTCTACTGCTTAGTTGAACAAAAGGAAAAAAAAATACCGTGCAAGGTATTATCAATTTGAATAATTAAAAAATAAAAGTTATTGAATATCGTTTTTTTTAACCTTTTATAGTTTCTATTTTCAGCGTAACTGCACTTATTTTATCAACAGCTGTTGAACTGAAACTGTAAGTTACACCTGTGTTTAAATAAGCACTAGACGTTTCAAAGTAACAACAGTGATATCGGTTATTCTTTCAACGGTGAAGGATCTAGAAATGTTTACTTTGATGATCGCCAAGACTATAAAACTTATCTTTATAGCATTTTTTAAGCATTTTTTCCTTGTTAGCATTGTTACATTAATTATAGCAGTACCAATTTTAATCATCAAAATTACACTATAAACTAAGTTATGCATAATTCAACATTACAGTATTTATCCGTTAGACACTATGGAACAAAGTAACATGTCTCTTGAATCAGAACAAGGCAAAGGTTTGCTGTATAACTCATTAACTGTCTCTCAAAGTTGTATTCTGTATAAACGATATTATTTTAGCTATATTTATTTCAACAAAATTAATATCCATGAAAAAAGAAAAACAAACTTTATTTTTTGCCTTTTTTTTTGTTGTTGTTAAGCAAAACCGAAATTGAACTTAATTTTTGTTATAGATTTATTTTTTAAAGGTTCAAGTCATAGTTTATTCAAAGAGGGCATTCAAAACATAGACGACGACAGATATGTTCGAAATGAAACTGCGGTAGTCGTCACTGTGTCACTGACAGTCGAACGGTACGTTGTTTGATAATAATCGACATCGGTCTGTGTCATTTTTTCGCTAAATTTTTTGCTGTAACAAACTCGTTTTTTTCCGCTTGATAATTGCTGAAAAATGCAGAAAAAAAAAAGAATCTATGCAGTTACAAGTAAAAATAAGGTTCGCCTCAAATTTTGAAAAAAAAGTTGAAGCGAAACTTCAAAATTGTTTTAAGCTATAAAAGTAAACATTTTTGGCACGAAAAAGTTAGTTGTTAATTTTTTAATAAAGTTATGTTATTGCTAAAACTATCTGCATGTAAGGAGGTGTTATAAAATAATTCAAAAATTAAACAAAATAGTTTGATAAATAAATATGAAAACTATAAATATTATTTTGTAAAAATTTAGGGTAGTTCTTTGTTGGCTAACAGTGCCTTCAAATATTAGTCCTACTTTTTTCTTTAAACATTAATAGATGCAAAATTTACTTCTAACAAACTGAATAGAGTGCAACAGACTGAAACAATTCAAAAAAATTTTAAAATATGCTTTGAAAATTTATAGCATTGAACAACTGGATGAACGTAAACAGGAAGTCAACATTGATGTGATCATAAATGAGCACTGGATCGATGAAAATATGAAGAAAAAACAACAGATACCTGGAACACTTTTGGTTGATCCATCATCTGATCTAATTTGGAAACCAAATACAATAATAGCTGTCAGTTAGAGCACTATCACTGCAACTCCAATTTCAGTTTTCCACCTACAAAAAATGATAAGTTTTAGGGTGCTGTACTACAAAAAAGCAGCAGACACGAACGATTAGGTGAAAGTATGACAGTCAATGCTGATGGATCTGTTTGGTATGTACATCGTCACAGATTGTCGGTATTTTGTCCGATGAATTTTGAGGTATCTTGGCCGGCTGCTTAGTTCAATAATTTTGATAAAGTTTCTCGAGAAAAATGATAAGAATAAGAAAAAAGTAGAACATAAATTGCAGTAAACATTCAACAAGAAAGAGAGATTAGCTTTAAAAAGAACTGCTTAATACAAAATATAATTCAACTAAAAAAATTGTCCTGAATTACAAATCTTATTGAAAAATCGCTAAAAATCTTCAAAACAAAACTAGATTCTTTTTTTTTTTCGAGAAAATTAGCTATTTTAGTATCAGCAAACTATTTCTTACTTTATAAATCTAAAATAAGAATTAATAATTGCGTTTATTATTTACAAATCACTAAACTGTAGGAAAAAGTATTTTGAGTACGAGAACGATAAAACTTTGATGTTGAAGTAAGGATACAAAGCCAAATAATCACTTATCTTAAAAGTTTTAAACTGCTTAAAATTTTTTCACATTTTTTTCACATTAAACTGACATCTTTTTTTTTGGTTTATTTTTAGAGACTACCGTTTGATACACAGAAGTGCAAACTTTATCTGGCTGCTGAACGTTTCCCAAAAATTGTTGGTAAGTATTTTGGTTTACCTGAACAGTGATCATTACAATTAAATTTTTTGTAATTAGTCAACAACTTTTTAACCGACCTACAAAGTGTTTCTGAAAGTTTTAGAAGACAAACTTTTATAGGCATTATAATTCAGTGACGTTTTTCATTTTTTTTTTTACAGTAACAATTTGAAGCTAAAAATTTTGTGTATTTTTTTAATTAGTAAGTATTTTCAGAATATCATTGGGAAAGTGTTTCACCTCAATATGTCAAAATTGACAATACATTACCGTTGTTTCACATCGAGAAGATTAGCTTTGGTTCTGATGCTGCTGCCGATAATGATCAGCTAACATCGCCGCTTTATTTCACTCTTTTGATGAAACGTGAACTTGGGTGAGTGAAATATACAAATACTCTGTATAATATTGTTCACAAGTTTTTTTTTTTTTTTTGCTAATTTTTGATATATTAAATACCGAAGGTTTCAGAATTGGTTTCTCTAAATTATTCACTGAATAGCAGATAATTTGTGAGTTCAGCTAATGTTTTTAATGATAATATTGAACATCAATATAAACTTTAAAAAAGTGACAATTTTTCTTTGCTTACATTTTTAGTTTTTACTTTATACACATATTTACACCACTCGTTCTTTTGGTTAATCTCTCCTGGATTACGTTTTCGTTGCATCCATCGAAAGAAGTTACCCGAATTCTGTTTATGACATTGATTATGGTAACATCAATAACACTGGTACAGTCTTTTCTCTTCACTGTTATCAGCTGCTTTTGATCATACTTTCACTGTTCTAAAAACATTTCGGGGATTTGTAATTGTAGATGAACCGAAAGAACAAAAACATATGTTTTGAAGAAAACAAAACATAATTATAATTACTGCAGTTTTTTCAACTTTATAAACTCATTTTAGTCTTCGGTTATCAACTTTTCTTTACCACCAACAACATATCGTAAAGCTGTTGACACTTGGACAGGAAGTAACTTACTTATGATTGTTTATTACTAATTTTGTAGTAAGAAATAAGTTGGAAAAGTTTAGCAAGTGATTTTTTGTTGTCATTAAATTGGTTCAAGAAAAATCGAATAAATTTACTACATTTATTGCTATTCATCTGTATTTATAAACTAAATTTTTTTGACAAAAAAATATGCAAATTATATTTCTTTATTTTTTTTTCTGCTTTTATACATATAGTTAGCAAAATTAAGATCTTTTTTCTCTTACAGCATGCATTCTATTCATCTTTTTGGCTTTTATCGAAACCGTAATTGCTGTCTGCTGTCATCACGGTAAGAAAAAATTGAATTTTTCACATTAAACAACTATCTTTTTCTGTGTTTTTGATTGGATTAACAAGAAGTTTCTCATTAGGTTTATGTCCGCTTACCAAACTTCGGTTTATAAACTGCAGTTATTTTTTAGTGTTTAATCGATGTTTACTATTTCAATAAATTGATAAAAGAAAAAAAAATTTGGCCATCGTCGTTTAGATAAAATTCAAATACTGTTGTGTTCTTTAAGCAGTCAACTGATTTGATATTTGGTGATAATAACTGTTGAATGAGGTACGTTGAATTGGTGGAAAATAAAATTGTCATTGACATTTTTGGATGCCTAAGAAGGAGCTATTTTGTCGCTTTTTTTTTTTCAGAGTTTTGTCATCGCACAATAAATGATACAGTAAATTAAGATTATTTGAAAAAAAAAAAAAGGAAGTGCTTATGCAGTGGAATATTTTGTTAAAA